CATTTTCTTGAGAAGTCATTTTCCGTTTCTTACGTTATTCGAAAACACAAAAGTCAAGTTCGTTCACCAAAGTGACAAACTACAAATTTAAGATTGTTTACCGTAGTAGAACAATCACCGAATACGTTTTAAGATTGTATCTGTATGATACAAACTTAGCAACGAAGTACGTTTTAAGATTGTTGGGTGTGTTTCAAAAAATAAGAAAAATAATTAATAAAAATTAATTAAGTAAAATGACTTAAAGAAAAACAAAAAATGAGATGAAGCAGAATAAGCCAAAGCTCGTGCTACGCACGATTTCCTTAAAACGTATTTGTTGCCTCTCGGGGTGCTAGAAGCGTTGCAAGAATCGTTTCCCAGGATACGATGACTACGAACAAGCGTTTGAGCACTCAAACGAAAGTTCCAACGAACGTGAACAAAGCAAGAACACAGAAGGAATTTTTAAGAGAAGGCTGGAGAGTTTTCTGAGCTAAAACGAAGTGCTGCACGTTTGTGACTTGTGTGTTTTTGCAAAGCAGCTACCAACCTTTTATAGGCGTAGATTTGCATGTGTTAATGGCTGGTTAAGGCAAAGGAACATTGGACATCAATGCCCAACGTTTGGGACATTGATTCCAGCAAAAAACAGTCCAAAACGTGTGCATTAAGTCCATGAACGTTGGACATTATGGCATATGGACGTTGGGCGAGCTGGAGAAAAAAAATGGAACTTAACGGAAGAACAAAAATTAACTTCATCTTTAGAAGATAGGATTTTCGGACGGCATTCGTGTCCGCAGGTCGCCCGCCCACGCAAGTTGCGCTTTTTGTTCTTCGGTTTCGAGATTTGATTCGCACCTCCCCTACACGCGTGAGAGAGCCTTTCCCTTTAGGAATCTTAACTCCTTAGGGGGGGTTTCCCTTTATAAAGGGTTCAAATTCCCTTGTGATTTTCGGTGTGGGAAAAACCCACACTAAAAACCCACATTTTCCTAGTTTTCTCCATTCCAACGGGTAAGCTTCGAAAAGCGATTTCTCATTCACCCGTTATCCATTTTGAGCGTACCATATATTGAATTGTAGCCCTAAGCAAGGAGAATCCGAAACCACTTTGACCCGACCCAAATCAGAAGTGGACCCCACTCAAAACATTGCCCCAAAATGACCATTTAATACAATTTTAACACACTTTTTCCAACAGAATGTTGCTGCGTTACTAACTGAAAATGGCAAAGATTGGAATGTGAGCTGTATTAAGAATATATTTCAGAACGGGGAGTGCGACAAAATACTTGCTATCCCTTTGAGTGTGCATCCAGTGGAGGATGGTTATTGGTGGGTGGGGGAAGCTAAAGGTTGCTTTACAGTGAAAAGCTGTTATAGACGTATCACAGGTGAAATTCAGTCGACGCACTGGGATGGTTGGACGGTAATGTGGCAGCTTAAGATCCCTCCTAAAGTAAAACATTTTTTCTGGCAAACAATGGTAGGATCCCTTCCAACGGCGGACAGATTGATACAAAAACGAGTTAACATTGCAGGAGACTGTCAAATCTGTAAAAGGGAGCCAGAATCAGTGTGGCATGTATTTTGGAAATGCCCATTGGCACAGGAAATCTGGGAGAAATTAGGTGTGCGCCAATCGTGTCTGCGGACAGATTTTATGGAATGGATTAAAGCTGTTTTTACTTCACTATCAGAATTCAGAAGAAAGTCGCTGCAAATTCATCATGTTAATGTGGAGTTTGTGGAAGCACAGGAATGAGGTTGTTTGGAAGGGTTGCTCGGTGTCATGTGGAGGTGTATGGTACCTGGCAGTAGCAATGTTAGAGGGATGGAGGGCAGCACAAGACATGTCTGTGAAGGCGGGGGAGGTAAGACAGAGTATGATTGGTAGCAAATGGCATAAACCGCAGCCCGTTTGGATCAAGATAAATGTAGATGCAGCCATAGACAACCGGAGCGGTAGGAGAGCATGGGGCTGGATAGCTCGGGATGAGGGGGGGGGGGCTGTTTTATTGGTGCTAGGAATAAATCTGTCCAGGCTCCTTGGACACCCTTCGAGACAGAGGCTAGAGGTGTAAGAGAGGCATTTATTTGGGCTCGGGTCAATGGATGTGAGCGTGTTATTGTGGAGTCGGACGCCACACTAGTTGTTTCCGGAATTGAAGGAGATCCGGGACTGTCTTATGTGGAGTTGATCATCAATGACATAAGGGAAATGCTTCGGATAAGTGAGAATCAGAAGGTGACTTTCTGTAGGAGATCTGCGAATCGAGTTGCTCATGCTCTAGCTAGGGCGGCTGTTTCTTATGCAGATAGCAATAATGAGTTTAACTTTATGCCTGATTATATTGTAAGCCTGGTGGCAAATGATGAGTTAAATTAATAGAATTGTTGTTTTCCTCTCAAAAAAAAGAAAAAAAAAGAGTATTGTATTATATTATTTAGAAATCTTCCAATTTGTATGTTGTGTCTTGGAATGTAAATACCATGGAGTTTCACAAAATCTGTGTTATATGGATCATATATCATTGTTTGATAACTAATTTTGGATTACGTTGTTTGTCACTATTTTATTACAAATATTTATATTATTATATATCAATCTATTGTTATATTTCAAAATGAACAAATGCAAAGTAATTTTTGAAAAATTAAATATAAAAACACTGCAGAGAAATATAATGAATCATTGTCACAAATATCCATTTGAGATATATTACATTTTGTTCAATTATTTATTTTTACTATGTATTTACAATTTATATTATTAAGATAAATGTGAGGTCTCAACAAACTACTACTTAATTTCCAAACAAAAAATTGTCCCGTGCAATAGGAAAATTAAATTTTATGTGTTTAATGGCTGATATGTAGTTTTAATTTTTTTGTGTAAACTATTAATCCCTCCGTCAAGCTAAGATTGTCCCGGCTCCTATTCACTTGGTCCACACAAATTACTCTTAATCTCTTACTTCATATATCAAATTTTTATCAAACTTGATTTTAGTTTTTGCTACTTTGTAAAGCTTTTAATGTAATTTCTGAAAACATAATTTTTTTTTCTAATAATTTGAGAGCAGCTAGGGATATGTTTGTTTTATCGTCAGTCAAACATTGTAAACTGAATTGTCCAAATCTTAGTGGGATGGAGGTAGCATTTATCTAGATCTATGTATTTTATTATAAAATCCAAGAATCAAATTAGTACCGGTTGAGGGTTTTTTAAATTCCTAGACTACATGCCGAATTAATGGTCTACTTTCAAAAAAAAATGTTGGATGGATTAATTGAATGCTAGGGGAATAACACAGTTCGTTTGAAATGATAAATGGCTCTTTAATTGTGATCTTCTAGGGGCTTTCCAATAAATGCATGCTTGAGGCTGTCTATCTTCTCAACGTGAGAAATTGCTTGAGCATATATTGGGAGTGGTATATGTGGATCGTTGCGCTTACCGCTACACTAAAAGCAATCGCTGATAGTGTAGCACGCCCTTCCCCTTTTTATAGAACAGGCAAAGCGCCACGCGGTTCGATTGCACCGGCAGGCTGGCAGATTGCTGACCGCAGACCCGCGGCAGGCCCAACAATCTCCCCCCCAGCACCTGCCAGCCTACAACTGAGCAGCATGCTGTTGCCGGGGGTCGAACCCGTGACCTTTGGCTCTGATACCAATTGTGGATCGTTGCGCTTACCGCTACACTAAAAGCAATCGCTGATAGTGTAGCACGCCCTTCCCCTTTTTATAGAACAGGCAAAGCGCCACGCGGTTCGATTGCACCGGCAGGCTGGCAGATTGCTGACCGCAGACCCGCGGCAGGCCCAACAATCTCCCCCCCAGCACCTGCCAGCCTACAACTGAGCAGCATGCTGTTGCCGGGGGTCGAACCCGTGACCTTTGGCTCTGATACCAATTGTGGATCGTTGCGCTTACCGCTACACTAAAAGCAATCGCTGATAGTGTAGCACGCCCTTCCCCTTTTTATAGAACAGGCAAAGCGCCACGCGGTTCGATTGCACCGGCAGGCTGGCAGATTGCTGACCGCAGACCCGCGGCAGGCCCAACAGTATAGTATACATTTCCGTTGTCGTTCACATTTTGTGTTGCCTTCAATCCCTTCACATAATCATTTTGATCTACGTTGTATATAACGGTAGGGGGTAGAGGGTAACGGGGTTGGGGTAGCCCAGTGGGGTCGAGGTAGGGGTGGGTGATAACGGGTAATGGGGGGTAGGGGGCAGGGGATAGGGGTAAGGGGTACGAGTACGGGGGACGAGTAGGGGTGGGGGTGGGATAAGGGGCATGGTCGGGGTAGGGGGGCCGGGTAGGGGTGGGCGAGGGTGGGGTGGAGGCGGAGAGGGTAGGGTAGGGGGTTAGGGGTCGGGGGACTGGTAGGGGGGTAGGGGAAGGGAGGGGTGGGTTAGGGGTGGGTAGAGGTAGGGGTAAGGGAAAGGGGTAGGGGTAAGGGTAAGGGTAAATTCGTAAACTTAAAGTGTCGCTTAATTCATACATGAGGGTGATATGCTTAGTAAGCGGTACTTTAAGCACCTATTTCGATTAGTAAGCAGTTTTTTAACCAACTTGCGTGTTTACTTCACATTTCTTACTAACCTAATTGTGAATTTAGCATTGAAGTAAACACGTCCTTTGGAACGCACTAAAAAAGGGAAAATTGAACCTTGCACTCTTTTTTTTTATTGGAATTTACACTCTATTTTCAAAAAACATTGATTTTGCACTCCATTCCATTTAAACATCCTTTGATTTTGCACTCCCATTCACAAATGTTTTTCCACAAAATGTTAGGTGATAAGATGTAAAGTCAAAGTTTTTTTCCAAATAGAGTGCAAAATCGAATATCACCCAAAAACTTGGGTGCAAAGTCAAACCCCACTTTAAAATATATATACTATGTATTATTAACAAAATTAAAAAATGAAATCATGAATAATAGCTAAAAGTGGTTCTCTATAGTAGATTTAATCAATTCGACCAAATAGACAAAATAGATACTCACTCCGTACAATATTAGAAAATTAACTAGTGTTTTACCCGGGCGTTGCCCCGGGTGCACATTGAGATTGTTATAACTGTTGTAACATATATATACATATATATATATATATATATATATATATATATATATATATGAGCAAAAAGAAAAGCAATAGGAATAGTATTTTAATTAAATAGAAGCAATAAAAATTGACATTGTATGGAACATGTGAGTTGTGTAACGCCGTACACACAAAATATCACATTGTTAGGTTTTGAAAAACCTCTTTATAAACAACATTGACTGTCTTTGTGGAGAACCCTTTTTCTTTTGAACGGATGAGTATCTTCAGACCATCTCTGCTCCTCACCCTTGATATTGCCACATACAACTGACCATGAGTGAAAACTTGTCGCTCAAGGCATAAACCGACATGTGCTAACGTCTGACCTTGACTTTTATTTATCGTCATCGCAAAGCATACCATCACAGGAAATTGCTTTCTTTGAAAATTGAGTGACATTGTCGTATCTGATGGTGACAATGGAATTCTGGGAATGTAAACCTTAACTCCCATAGCTTTTCCTGTTATTACTTTGGCTTCCAACACGTGCAGTGCTTTCCCAGTTTGGTTACGACCAACCTCGTTCCATTGCATAATCCTGCCGCCTGATCAATATTTCTCAATAGCATTATCGGTGCTCCTATTTTTAAATGGAGAACATGATTAGGCAATCCTGACATTGATATGCTATTAAGAAACTCGGTTGTGTACATATCTGCATGGAAGGGATCTATGTCTGAGGGGATTATACTATCTGAACTGAAGTATGTAACTTCCTCGCCAGAAATCAATGAGAGCATGTACTCATTTATGTCATTGACAATGTCCAATGTAGGTGCAAGGATCGCTCTTTCCTGTAGATATGCAGGATCACTGAACCTACTAAGGAAGTCAGGATATGTGCTATCAACTATAGCTGCAATGTGGTTATCTTTTACCTTAAGGAGCAAATCATCTGGGATCTCCACTTCTTGAACACCACCTTTGTCTACTCCAATGTCACCGTCCCCGATTTTAAGAACCCACTTAGCAAACTCTTGAGTTTGTTGTTTCCTAGAGTCATTCTGATATGTCATCAGTCTCATATTCTTTGTGAGACGAAGTACAGTACAATGATCCCAAAGATGTGATGAGTTGATCGCTGCCATTACCACATCTGCTCTTCCCCCCTTCGGGACGACTGGCAGCGTCTGTCTAAAGTCTCCTCCCAAAACAACAACTTTCCCTCCGAACGGCTTTTCTTCATTTTCGGGATTAGATGGTCTCGTGATGTCTCGCAACGTGCGGTCTAAAGCCTCAAAGCAGTGCTTGTGAACCATCGGAGCTTCATCCCAAATAATCAAAGATGTATCTTCTCATAAGTCGGACTTGGAGTCTCCAACTTTGACGGCCAAGAGATATGTTTTTTATAAAATCATACATTTTAGAAGAACAACTTAACTTTCAAAGGAACAAAATAGGTAGTATGTTTATGAATTGCTCGTACTTGGGGACTGAACACTACATATTCCGTATATATATATTTTTAAGTGCTGAAATGCAGTCCATATATAAGGAAGGACAATAAGTATGATATGGAGCATTTATTGTACGTCTTTCTTTCTAGACCTTGACTTGTCCGCACATATATATTTTGGTGTAAGAATATTTTAATATGAAGTAATCTATTCATGGTCCTAATAGTTGATCTCGTCCTTTCAAGTTGTATAGGGTATAAATTGGATTCACATAAAATTATTTTATGGAAAGGATACATACGTATGCAATTATTAATGATCTTTCTTTTATCGAAAGACCTTGACCTATCAGTATGGAAAGAGTACAAACACTTCCTTTGTTTTATTATTTAATAATTTCATTAATTTAGTTGGTGGAATATTGAAACAATAATTTAAAAAGGAAAGAATATTCTTTCCTTTCAACGGTAGAAGGTAGAAAGTACTTAATGAACAAATTCAATTTTTCTCAAGTAATTTGATCACACTTGATAAGATACCGAGTATGTGAAGTTTAATTTTCTCAAGTTTTCTTGTGATCTTTTAATATATGCTAGAAGAATGCCTTGATAGCTTAAGTGGCTAATATTTTAATATACAGGCATATCTCTTAGTTTAGTAAGGCTGGTTCGAAATTTCTTAACAAAAAGTATTTGCTAACTTAAATTTTTTATACGAATTGTTACTCACTACCTATTTAATTTATAACCTTTAATTTATTAAAGGTTTTCAATGTAGTTGTGGAAGATGAAGACAAAACATGACGTATTATGCCTAGTAGATGATCGTTTTTGATAATTCATTAAATTGAATTGCTATTGAATTTATTAGGTGGTGAAGATCTGGCGGAAGTAGAGCCGGTCATTCTAAATTGGTGCTCGTTTGTGATACTTTCACACTTTAAATGATTACATCAATTTTGGAATGTAAATAATTAAATACGTAGGGTAACA